GGCAGATGGGAGGGGGAAGGAGGGGATGGGTATATACATACATAATGAGTACGATGCGCGCCATCTGGGGGATGGACACTTGAAGCTCTGACTGGGGGTGGGGAGGGGCAAGGGCAACGACCTAAACATTTGTACCCCCATAATATGCAGAAATAAAGAAAAATTTAAAAAAAAGTAAAACCATAAAAAAAATAAAGTGTGCTGGTTTAATTTGTAAGATGTCATACATGTTCTATTCTTCTTCCAGATACATCTATTGTAAGCTGTAAAATTTCTCTACTGCCCCAACCAGGAAAGATATAAAAGATTGAGCTTGGTTATGGAACATGTATAAACATCACACAAATATATAAAACCACTATAGAACGCTGTACAAGGATCCAGAAAGATGTCCGCAGAATTGCTAGTTTCTTCTGACTCCATGATAGTGAGCAAGTCTCTAAATAACCCATTCATAATCCCCCTGTTGGAAAATAACACATCTGAATGTCTCATGTAAAGTAGGTTCTTCTGGCCTTTCCCCTTCAGTAAGATGAGCTTCAAAGCTCTTTAAACACATCAGAGAAAGTAAACGCATTAGAGAAAGTAAAACACAAGACACTTGTGATGGTTAATTTTAGGGGTCAGCTTGATTAAGGAAAACCTAAAAACTTGGTAAAGCATTATTTTTAGGTGTTTCTGTGAGGGTGTTTCCAGAGGAGAACAGCATGTAAGTCTGAGCAGACTAAGTGGGGAAGATCTATCCTCAGTGTGGGCAAGCATCATCCAATCAGCTGGGGGCCTGGAGAGAACAAAAACAGAAAAGACAAGTGTGTCTATCTGCTGGAACTAAGATAAACTCTTCCTATCCTTGGACATCAGAACCCTAGGCTCCCTGGCCTTCGGACTCCAAGACTTATACCAGCAGCCTTCTAGGTTCTCAGGCCTTGGGCCTCAGACTGTGGGTTACACCATCAGCTTCCCTGCTTGTGAGGCCTTCAGACTTGGACTGAGCCACCCTGGAGATACCCCACGGTCTCCAGCTCACATACAGCCCGGCATAGAACTCAGCAGCCACAATAATCCGAGCAACCACCCCCAATAACCCATAATAATAAAAAACATACTAGTGCTGCCGCCGCAGAACCCTAAAACAACACTATTTTTATAACTATCTGAAGACTCAACTATAAGACACCCACTTATACACATAGTAATAATTGAGGGGAGGGTAGCAGCTATCGTATGATCACATTGTAACAAATGTTAATTCCAACCCTTTACTGCTTGCCATCTTTAAATACTTCTGATCCATCTTTACTCAAAGACCACCCATGTGAAGAAAGTAATGGTCTTCAATTCAGAAAAGGCATAGAACAGGAAACATGATTGATTTTTGTTTTAATGGAAAAAATAGCTGAGCTGGCTGTGGATTTTAGTTGAGAGGGTTAGAAGGGTAGATTTGAGTATGGTGTGATCCTGGAGCAGCAGTTACATTGCTGCTCATGAGTATCCAAAACATTTGTTTAGGCAGTGAATAGGAAATAAGCAATTGAAGGCGAGCACAGGGTGTGCTCCACCTCAAGTCACACTGTTCAGCAGCCTGGCTAAAATTAGATTTGGGGCCCTTGGTTATCGTCTGTCTTACTAACCACAAGACCACATCGCCTTCCTTTCTAAATGAAAATCGCACCAGCACAGAACCTCCTAGTTAGTTACTCAGTTCAACTAACTTCAGACCTTTCAGTGATATACTTGTAAATGTTCCACATTAGAGTCTCTCTCTTCAAAATGTGGAAAATCAAAGTGACTCATTACATGTAAAAATGCATCCAATAGTGCTACTTGAACAAATCGACTGTATCTGACAGTAGCAGCTCATCGTGAGGCAAAGTACAGTAACATCGAACTCTTAAATATTTGAACCAAGAATGAATAAAATCTCATTGAGTGTGTAATGTGCCAGAAACTATTATAGGTATTTGTTTTATTCACTGATATAGCCCAAAGAGTCACCCCCCGACCCCCAGCCTAACCTACGGAGCTTACTTTGGGGAGGGAGAAGAAGAACAGGGAAGGCATCTTTTTAGATCAAAATTCTCTTACGTTAACCAAAACAGAAAAATTAGTTAAATCATTCTATGCTCATTCTCCTTGTAAGATTAGGAGTCATCGGAAAGAACTACATCAGAATCCCCTTCATAACAGCTGGAGCAGTGGCCTCTGACATCTTGCTTGACTGTTGCCCACCAACTGGAAAATAACTCATCCCACTTCTGCCAGCTTTAGTTGTTCCTAAGACAAAGCTAGCTCCCATAGCTCCTCTATTTGGTCCAGCTGTGCCCCATAGAATGCAAAAATAAGCATACTCCTCACGTGATAGCCTTTCAAATTCTTAAAGATGCTCTCTTCTCCAAAGCCTACACTTATTCAAGCTAAATACTCACATGGTGACTTCCAAAACTTCTTCCCTGGTTACCTTTCTTGTCACTGGCCCTCTTAGAAGTGAGGTTCTCAGAACCGGACACAATCTTGATTTAACGAACATTTATATGTGTGAGGTATTATTCTGCGCACTCTAAATATTCTCATTCAACACTCCTAAACCACACTTCATAGTAGCTACCCCCTTCATACAACTAAGGAAACTGAGGCAGAGAGAGGATAACTTGCCCAAGGTTATATTACTAGGGATTCCAAGTATGGTCTGACTCAGTACAGTAAGATAGTTGTCTCCAGAAGCCAAGTATCAATTAATGTAACTTTAAATTGCCTTTTTGGGTGGGGGCAGCTACTTGGAATATCACCAAGTTTCTGGTCTTTCTCTATGGTCATCAGATCAGGTCTCACTATTTGGTATTCATATAACTTACTTGTTAGTATAGTACTTGGAATTATTTCTGTCTAAGCTTAACCTTGTTTTTATTCTTTCTAGCCTAATATTAATTACACCCTCCAGCAAATTATCCACCATTACTTTAAGTCTTCTGAAAGTATTTTAAAATATGTTTTCCACATCTCCATCCAAATTTACTAAACTAGTTTAGGATAGGAAAAAGTAGCCTGCCATTAGAGACTTCTGTTCAGGTTGACGTTGTTCTAATATCAAGTATTTTCTAAGTTTGATTGTTCAACTAGCCAAAAACCACATTTTTCTATGTATTTCATTGTTTAATTTTATTTACAAGATTATCTTGAAATATCTAATCAAAATGTGCTGAGAAGGAATATGGCATAATGAATTGAGTCCAAGAACTTGGGTTCAAATACTGGCTTCAGTCTTTACTAAACTGGGTGACTTTAGGAAACTGAAGCTTTGAGAGATGATTTGCTAATCTATAAAAAGGGGCTAATATTACCACCCATAATATTCTTCTGTATCATTTATTTTGAACGCTATTATCGTATGTCACAGAACAAGAACCATCTATCATGTTCATATTTATGACCAACACCTAGCAAGGCTGATGGTACTTAGAAGGCCCCCCCGATATCTGTTAAGCTACACTGAACCTCAGTTCTTACCTTAAAATAAGTGCAGTAGTAGGTGTTATGATTAGGAGTTGTTAAGAGGAAGTAAGGTTAGTTTGATTCAGCTTGGTCTTAGTGAGTCTGTTTCTACTTCCTTCATTTGCTAAGGACTTACAAGCAGTTTAATAATCCTTTCTGGGCTTTTACATGAGATTGGTGGAACTTACTGATCTACAGTTTAAAATCCAATTGTTCCCTGTTTGGGGAACAATTTTATTTCCAGGCTCCTGTTATCCATAGATTTTCTCATATCGCCAAGAGTAATTCTGCAGTTATAGTTGCCAATTCTTTCAAAATCTTAAGTCCAAAGACTTAAAACTCTTTTACTTGACATTTTTTTATTACTACCAACTTGAGCTTCATTTCAGCCTTACTGATGATCATTATGCCCCTTCCGGTTTGAAGAACAAACTAGTAACTCAGCCCAAAATTTGAGGACATCAATGAATGGACCCATCCTTAATGCACAAATACGTGGCTTTGTGCTACTCACCAGTTTATATATGTTGTCCGTCTCTTTGTCCACTACCAGCAGTGAAGTCTGATCTCCACCCTTTTTAATCATTTCCACAACACTGTCATGATCCAGAGTTTCCACAGACTCGCCGTTGACAGCAACTACCAGGTCATTGTTCTTCAAGCCAGCCTGCTCTGCTGGACTTCCAGGATCTATGTCCTTGATGATTTGACCTACCCTCCCCCACCCCCAAAAATAAAATTATCAGAAAGGCCCGTAAACAAATAAACCGGGATTTCTGCTGGAGTCCCAGGCCCTGATGAAATAGATATAAAAGACACGCTGAGTACAACTACTGTCCCTCCTACCAGCATCCCAAGAAGCTTATAAAACACCCAATCTGGGCTAACTTCCTGCTCAGATCACATTCCAGGAACTAACCCAGCCAGTAACAATGAAAGGATCTTAAAGAATCATGTACTAGGCCGGGCGCTCACGCCTGTAATCCTAGCACTCTGGGAGGCAGAGGTGGGTGGATCACTCAAGGTCAGGAGTTCGAGACTAGCCTGAGCAAGAGCGAGACCCCCGTCTCTACTAAAAATAGAAAGAAATTACTTGGACAACTAAAAATACACAGAAAAAATTAGCCAGGCATGGTGGCGCATGCCTGTAGTCCCAGCTACTCGGGAGGCTGAGGCAGAAGGATTGCTTGAGCCCAGGAGTTTGAGGTTGCTGTGAGCTAGGATGACGCCACGGCACTCTAGCCCAGGCAACACAGTGAGACTCTGTCTCAAAAAAAAAAAAAAAAAGAATCATGTACTAAAAGCAACATTCAATATTGACAAAACAGCAGGCTAAGCATAAAGGGTCAGCAAGTTCCCAGGAAGTCCGTGGGCATACCTGCATCCATACATCTTATATAGAAGCCAAGCCATAAGAAAAGGGGAAGGGAAGAATAAAAACAAAACCAAAAACTTTGTACCTTAGGAAACCCATGCTTCCATTTTAGTAGCCTTTGGGTGTATTCAGCTGTGAATGTATTTGTAAATACACACTTCAAGGATGTGCCTTTAGCCACCTTCCTTCTGACTTCAACTATCTTTACCAGATGCCTCCAGAGCCTTCATACTTTTTTCGTCCCTCACACTAGTTCAAGAAGCTCCAGTTTCACTTTTCCAGCTAAGTATCTCCAACAAGATCTCAGATCCCTCAAATTTAATGTATCCAAACCAAAAATCAGCTCTGCCCGTCCATTCTCCATCCCAAAGGCCTGTTAGTATTCCCCCAGTCACCAACACTCAACGGCTGATTCTTCCCCAGCATCCACTCCCTGTATCTAGTCAGTATCTAAATCTTTTGATGCTACCTTAGTATTAATATTCTACACATCCCTCTTTCTCTAATCCCATTTCCTCTACCCTGAATGTGGTTTGTATTAGTTCCTGCCTGGAATTCTACCTAAACTACAGCACCTTACCAACTGCTCTCCCTTCTCCAATCTTTCCCCCACGTCCCCACCCCTTTGATACATCCCTGCCTTCAGATCTGTCTTGATGGACATGTCAGACCAAGTCACTCCCCAGGGCAACAGAATGAGTGTGGGCTTTGGAACTAAACAGCCCTGAGTTGGACCCAGCTGCAGCACAAGTATTTGACTTTATATAATTACTGCATCTTCAAGCCCTCAATTTCAACAATTCTTCTTACAGAATTGTTAGAAGTAATTGAGATGTATAAAGTTCCTAAGACATTCTAGGCTTAATTTTTCTTTTCTCTCACATTGTTCAAAAAATTCTTAACTCCTCATTGACTAATGAGCTAAATCTAAACTCTTCAACTCAATATTGAAGTTCCTTCATCATCTTTGTCCAACCTACCTTCCTAACTTGGATTCTTACACTATACACCAGACAGAACTCAAGTCAGCGGAGTGAAGAATGGGATGGTTACATTGCCAAGTTTTCCACTCTTCTAGTGCCTTACCTTTGGCTTCTGGGCCTGCCCTCAGATAGAAACCATAGCCATCACTTCCCTTCTTCATCTCCACAACTCGTGGCTGGTGGGGTAACAGTTTCAAATTGGCAGTTTCCCTTTTGAATTGTATCTTCTGCTCACTATAGCACTTGTCAGTTTCTTTGTCCACCAGCAGGAACATGACACGGCTTCCTGACTTCTTCACCTGCAACAACACACACAGATGAGGGATGACACTGACCACCAAGAACAATGCTGGGGAATAGGAAAGTTGCTGTATAGAGGCACATGGTCTCCAGATGCAACAGAAAATACAGGATGCAAGGCCTGAGTTTAAGCTGTTACGCTATTTCCTACTACCTAACTAGTATTGCTCTATCTTCATTTCCATATTTGTTTTTCTCTTTGTTAAGTGTGCCCTCACCCACATAGATGCTAACTAAACCCAGGTGAGAGCTGGACTTTAGAAAATCCAGAAGTGTAGGTGAAGCCTAGGAGTTTGAAAAAGAAAGTAAAGGTCCATTGTGAAAACTCATTCTAAAAAGAGTAGAAGAAGGTTGGTCAATTTTCAAGGTTCCATATGCCTTCAAAGGAAAATCTCAGTGTTTTCCATGTGTCATGGAACCATGCTGGGACATAAGATTCGGGGTCATAGACCTTCCAATATTGTGCATGTGTAGCTCCATATTTACCACTACATTGGTTATCTTCTACTTCCTATTAAAACGTTTCAGTATCATCAGCTCAACATTGAATTTATCATAAATTCAGAGGGGGCTCCCGACCAGGTACAAACAAGATCCAAAAGATAAAGTTAATGGTTCTTTAGGCCCCTTATGAAACTAGCAAAGACCTTATTCCAAAACCCTGAATTAACACTGCTTCTGCCACTAATGAGTCTGTCCAGCCTTAACATGAAGGGGCAACTCAAGTGGGTATTCCTTCTGCCATAAACTCATTGTGGCCCCTACCACTCATCTTCCTGTCACTTGGAATGACAGTGAAAGACAGGGTAAGAAGAGTTCCCCTCTGGGACATACCTTCTCAACCACTTCCTCATGGCTGGCGTCTTCTACATTCTCTCCATTCACTTCAATCAAGTGATCATCAGGCAGCACCCCAGCTTTCATGGCCACACCTTGGGGTGTGATATCAGTCAGGTATACCCCCTTTTTACCTGAAAGGCAGGCGAGAATAAACTCCATTGCACAGAAAAACCAGAGATCTAATGGTAACAGGTTTTCTCACAGTAATATAAAACAGAGCTTCCAATTTTAGAGCTAACTCAAATGGCCTTTGGCTTCTGATTTAGAGTCATGGTTACAGCTCCTAGCATGAAGCTTGACGAAGCCATTACTCAGTGGGTATTTGTTGATTTGAATAGAATTTCTGAGCTTAAGTAAATGCAATGAAGGAATCTCAGGTGGCATTGGCCTCCTGAACCAGAAAGTGCCAACCATGCCCAGGCTGCCTCATTGCGTCATACTCTTTCTTTGCATTTGTGTTATAGATTAGAAAGCATCTGTCCCATTCCTTCTTCTCTAGTACTATTAACCATCATGTACCAATGGAGTCAAATAAATCTGATACAGGCTTAACAAGGACAGAGGCACAGGAGGGAGGGAAAGTGTGCACACACTTGAGTGGTGTAATTTAGGTACCACCCACAGCAATGCTGTCAATTCTTTTGAGATAATACAGTAGTTCCCCCATATCCACGGAGGATACGTTCCAAGACCCACAGTGGATGCCTGAAACTGCAGACAGTACTGAATCTATATATACTGTGTTTTTTCCTATTCATGCCTATGGTAAAGTTTAATTTATAAATTAGGCACAGTAAGAAATTAACAATAACTGACCTAATCTTCATAATCTCAGCATATTTTTTTCTTCTCTTAAGCTGAGAACTTTTCACTTAATGGAAGTACTTTACGGCTTCTCTTCAGCATATCTGAATTGCCAGCATCACTATTCTTCCACTTTGGGCCATTTTTATTGATACTTAGTACTTGCATGTTTATGGGGTACATGTGATATTTTGATCCATGCATACAATGTGTAATGACCAAGTCAGCGTATTTAGGATATCCATCACCTCAGACATTTATCAGTTTTGTGTTGGGAACATTTCCAATCTTCTAACTATTTTGAAATATATATTAACTATAGTCTACTGTGCTATTGAACATTAGAACTTATTCCTTCTGTTTGTACCCATTAACCTACCTCTCTTCATACCCCCACCCCTAACACATACACACACATGCACACGCACACCTTTCCTAGCTCTGGTAACTATCAGTCTACTCTACCTCCATGGATCAATTTTTAGCTCCCACATATGAGTGAGAACGGACAGTATTTGTCTTTCTGTGCTGGGCCATTCTTTAGTAAAATAAGGGCTACTCCAACACATAATTAAACACAATCGCACTGTAACAGTCGATCTGCTAACATAGATGGCTACTAAGTGACTACTGGGCAGGTAGCACATACAGCAAGGAGACGCTAGACAAAGGGATGAGTCACGTCCTGGGTAGGGTGGAGCAGGACAGCAGGAGTTTTCACCACACTATTCAGAATGGCTCACAATTTAAAATTTCTAAGTTGTTTATTTCCAGAATTTTTCACATAGTATTTTTGGACCATGGTTGACTGCAGGTAACTGAAACCATGGAAAGAAAAACTGAGGATAGGGCCAGGCACGGTGGCTCACACCTGTAATCCTAGCACTCTGGGAGGCCAAAGCAGGTGGATTGTTTGAGCTCAGAATTCGAGACCAGCCTGAGGAAGAGCGAGACCCCATCTCTACTAAAAATAGAAATTAATCGGAGAACTAAAAATACATAGAAAAAATTAGCCGGGCATGGTGGCGCATGCCTGTAGTCCCAGCTACTCAGGAGGCTGAGGCAGAAGGACCGTTTGAGTCCAGGAGTTTGAGGTTGCTGTGAGCTAGGATGACGCCACGGCACTCTAGCCAGGGCAACACAGTGAGACTCTGTCTCAAAAAAAAAAAAACGAGGATAAGGGGGAACTGTGGTATGTCCATCTAGGCAAAGGGTAGCTTCATAAAGACCATATAAGTCACTTGTAAGTAACAAACTGCTTCCTTGAACACTCAACATTTCTCCTGTTACTTTGTTATATATTTGTCATGAAGAAAACAATTTCTTCACAAAGCTAACCTAAACCATTCACCATGTGCATTAGCACAAGAGCCAAATGAACAGAATTTGAATTATGATTTTATTTTTTACCATTTTACCAATAACAGTCTAAGAAATGCCAAGCTTCCTATAACCACACCACTGTGTTTAATAACTGACAAACTTGAGAAATGCCTCTTATGGCTCATTTACATCTCTTGCTACAGGTTAAATAAGCTTTGGAAATAATTTTAAGTTTACCATTGGCCTGCTGCTTTACCACTTACCAAGTCATGACCTACCCCCGGTGTTTCTCCAGTACCAGAAAGAACGTGGGCAGGCGCAGCATTAGCGAAAGAACCAACTGCTAACATAGTCCTCTGGTTCCAACCCATTTCTCAGAGGAACCGTTATACAACTAAGGTCAACTGAGTGCAGGTCAGTCTGCACCACTGAAATTCTAGAAACAGAACTTCTAGTACTTCCTGATGGTCAGGGTTTCTCAAACCACTAGGTACCTCTCAGCTAGAGATCAGGGCGTCACCTCAGAACAGTCTAGGCTAGACCACAGCTGAGGATACTATTTAAATATTATAAGAGGGTAGAGATTCTTGCAGTATCCTCAGCAAATATAACAGTGCCTGACACATCAATAGATGCTCGAGAATTTGTTGAATAAATGAATAACTACCTGGGCACTCAGATGAAAAAAAGATACCAATCTTACTCAAAAGTAGCTATTATAAAGATCCTCCTCTTTCTTGGCTTTTATTCCCCATTCTCCCCCCATCTTCACCCTAAGGAAGCTAGAAAAAAAACAACAAAGCAGCATCATGGCCTCAAAGGGTCCTCGGCCTGATAAACACTTGGGAACAGAAGTGCCCAGTGCCTACCTGCCCCCACCCCATTGCTGTCCAATGTTTTGATCCCTCATTGCACAACCACGCAAGACAAAGGAAGGGGCAAGGAGGGAGGAAAAGCTGCTATAGGACATCTATAGCAACTGAAGAAGAGTCATTAACCAACATCATCTTTATTCTGGAATCTCTTGTCCATGCCCCACCCTCAAGCTTACCGTGGACAGTCTTCATAGAGAAGCCATAGCTGTTCCCCTCCTTCACCAGGTAGCAGAGCCGTGCCTGGGTCCAAGTCTGCATTCCTCTATTTGTCACAGGGGACGGTTTCTTCTCATTCAAATCTTGCTCCTTCTGACTTTGACCCAACTCTTCCAAGTCTGCCTGCATTTTCATTGCTTTCTCATAGGAATCCCCTTCCAGAACTAGTAAGGTCACTGAATTCCCGCTCTTTCTGACCAGATCCACAACCTAGGAGGAGAGAAAGGTAGCTTTAATGAGTAACCCTCTATCAACTACCAGAGGGAAATGCTCCCCACCTGGCTCAATATCTGGCCCTGGAAATCCTGATAGCTGACCCCTGACACCCAGCTAATAAGCAGATGGTACCCCAGCCACCTCCATTCCAGCCCTCCTGAGATCCAGGTGCAGATTAGACTGGGCTTCCGGCACTGTTGGAATCTAGAGTGTGAACCAACTCCAGCCCAGAGGACAATTTCAAGGACTGACCCTTTCTAGAGATGAATGCTGCCCTACAGCATAACAGATCCTCCCAAGTCTACGGGGACAGTAAGGTGTAGTGAGAACAGCATCCACCTGGAGTCAGGCAGAATGGGGTAAGGCCAGACCCTCCCATGTATTCACAGCATGAACACATTAGCACGCTAAGTTATTAAGCTTCCTAATCCAAGAGATAGTGATATGTACCTCACAGGGTCATGATGAGGATATAACAAGGTAATGAATATAAAGTCGCCTAGCATAGTCTCTGGCATATAGTGAACATGCAATGCCTGTTAGACCTGATACTACTCAAATCCAAGAATAATGTTTACAGTTCTTGGCTAATTCCTGGGGACTTGATTGGCCAACATAAACCATAGTGATAAAAGTGTCCTGCTTTGCCAGTGGCAGCCAAGAACCAAACTCTATTGACCCCCAAAATTACACTCTGCAGAGGGGATGTGGGTACTGAAGTGATCGTATAAGAGGAACCCCCAAGTGTCTCATTCACCTGCATATGTTCTTCCTTGTCCACAAAAACACCATTGACCCTAAGAACTCTGTCTCCATCCTGGAGGCCAGCCTTCTCTGCTGGGCTACCCTTCTCAATCACCCGAACCAGGTGACCTGCGGTGTCCTTCTCAATTCTCAGGAAGAAGCCATAGCTTTGCCCTTCTTGTTTGGACAGCTTACATTCCCGGGGGTTGAAGGTGGAAGCCATTTCTGTGATGAAAAACAAATGGATAAGTCCATGGGAAAGAAAATCTAATTGGAGTGAGAACTCTGTCCTCCATCTCCTAGGATTCTATTCTTCCAATCACACCAAATCTAGACTGTTTGGGTAGCTACTCTGGGGATACAGCAGGCAACCTTCCAGAACTTGGTAATGATTTCCAAATCTATTTCCCCCAAGAACAACATTTTCACTTGAGTTTCAGACTCATGTATTTTAGTGGGTAATGGACACAGATGATATCGTTTCAATAGCTCCAAACTCCTCTTTGTCCCCTGACGTAAAGAAATTAAGTCCAAATACATGACCCAAAAATTTTAAGAAAAACAAATCCACTCAAATATTTGGAGAGCCTATCAAGTTCTAGGCATTGAGAATGAATCTATAGAGAAGACAGACTCATATTTGCCTCTCATACTGGCAAGAACATAATTATAACATGTTGTGACTGTTACGCTAGGGAAGAACAGAGTAAGAAGGAGAATATGTTTAATAACAAAGGGTCTTGGGAAAAGGCAGTGGAGTGGGAAGAATCAAGAACAGCTTCCTGGAGGAATGACCTTTCTAAGAACTGAAGAATCAGGAGTCAGGTGAGGTAGGATAGGTCAAGGAAGACCTTAAAAACAGTTTAAAAGAGAAAAAAATAAATAAATACAGAAGCCAGAGCAGAGTAGGGATACCCAAAACAGAAACAATTCCTGGCTGGGCATGGTGGCCCATGCCTATAGTACCAGCTACTTGGGAGGCCCAGGTGTGAGGATTGCTTGAGCCCAGGAGTTGGAGGCTGCAGTGAGCTATGATTGTACTCACAGCCCAGGTGACAGAGCAAGACCCCATCTCAAAATAAATATTAAAAAAAAAAAAGTAGTCTTGTGGCCAAGTCAGGGTTCTCCCTGCTGAAGCAGCTTCTATTTCCCTCCATCCAGTGGGGCCCTTCCTGTTGCCCCACTGCAGGAACAAGGTCCTAAGCCACAGGAGGAAGACAGGAAAAGTGTGAAACCAACAACTGGGGCTTTGGCACCCAGTTGCCGATAAGGGAAGACTCCTGCCAGCGCCCCCCACCCCTCCTGGCTTAAAGCTTTTTCATTTGGAGAATGGGGGCCAGAACAGCAGGGTGCTGCTATGCAAGGCAGGGGGTCCAGAGCAGAAGGCTGGGGTCTGCTCTTTAAACTACCTGCAGGGTAGGCCCTCTTGCCCCCTTGTCACAGTTCCCCACCTATAAGTCAGAGAATAAACCATCTCTCCCTTCCCTCCTCAAGGGACAGGAATAGATGGCCACATAGGGTACGGAGTAGGGTAGAGAATAGGGATCAGAGTGCTCCAGGCTTCCTAGGATCCACGCCATGGTGATTCAAGTACCTATCTCTGACCTTCGTGCCCACAGAGCCGTACAGTACGAACCAGACTGAAAGCCTCCCACTGCCTGATGACACGGCCACCTCACATGGTCTCAGCAAGGTCTGGCAGACACACTGCCAGTGGCATGAATGACTAAGTAGCCAAGAAAACAGATAAATAGACTCCCCATCGAGTGTCAAGGGAAGAGAAAAGAGAAGCTGGGCTCACCAGCGGTCAGTGCTGGCACCTTGGGAGAGCTTAGCTGAGCCAGGTTGAAAGACACGGCCGGCTACCAGGAACCACCACTTTGGGAGGAGAGTAAAAGTACGGGGCATCGCCAGAGTCAAGTTTCCACACATGCAGGCACCTGTTTCCGGTCCAGTTTGAGTCCTTAACATATTGCTTTTTCTGATCATCCAGCCTGCAGGCCTCAGTTTTCAGCTTGAATCCACATCTATGTCCAAGTTCATCTCTAGAACCCTATCAGCTCTCAATTCCATAGAGCCAAAAAGCCTTAAAAAAATAAGACAAAGGTCTCTACTATGCATTTTATTGGGAAGAACAGGCAATAATTATATAAATGAATGAATAAGATCACTTCAGATAATGATACTTGCTGTGAAGAAAATAAAATAGGATATCATCTCCAGGAACAACAGAAAACCCAAAGCCTTTTTAAACTTGGGAGTAATTATTGCAAAACCTCATTCATATCCAACAAAATTTGAAACATGTCCTTATAATCAGAACGAAGGCCACTAGATGCTATATTTTCATCAAAAGATGAGGCTGTTTGTGATCAACATATGAACACTCATTTCTAAGGCACTCACCCCTAAAATTCAGCAATCTCACACCTTGTAGTGACAACCACAGGCTGTTAGTCTCTGCAGACCAAGGATAGAAAGTGAAACCTCATCACTGGTAGAACTAGTCCATGTTGGAAAAAGGGGAAGAGGCAAAGTTTTTCCCGTGTGTCACTGGAGACCTGAAAGCCCAGTATACAAGGAAATACAAATCACTATTTCCCGGCAAAAACTCAAGTTGGTTTTGTTTGGAGTTTTCAAACAGCCAGACAGTAATCACTAGATCTGCACCCGTTGCTTTGAAGCCTCAGGCACTCAAGGTCAGTTTCTTCTCTGTCTGGAAGCCAGAGAATTAGAGCCAGTTCATAGCAATGGGAATATTAAAACGCTACATACTGGTGAGGAAACAACTACTGCTGGCAGCCCCCAAACACCTCCTGCCACGTCTGCAGCCAGTGACAGATTAATGACGGTGTCCACGGATTGGTATGTGCCCAGACCAAACTGATTAAACACTCTCAACTGTGCCAGTGGGGAAGGCAGACCAAAACCCCAAAGCCTGGTCTTACATGGTACCCCCAGGGCCCTAAAACTATCTGTTTTCTTTGCCATCTTGCAGAAAGATGACTTAACTAGGTGTCAAGAGGGCTGCACTCAGGCCCACCTCCAGTGCGGGTTCTGTCTGGTCCACATCCTGGTGACACACTGGCCCCTAAATCAGGGCTAGGATCAGTCACTTTAGTAAGACTCTGTCACTGCTCCATGATGAGGATGCCTGGGACTCTGGAACACAGGGCCTAACTAGGAATGATCTTTGTATTTAAGGATACTGTTTCCTATTTCTTTAGCTCCCATCCCATCTTCTGCTGCCTGAGAAAACCTGGAGATCAGATCCCTAAGGTGGACAGACACGTAACCAGTGAAGGCCTAGGAATCTCTGTAGTATGTCAGCAATCATCCAAAGCCAGAGTCCATTAAGTTTTCAACAGGCTTTATTCTCCAGTTAAATAGCCACAATAAAATACTAGAAATGAAAGAAAGCTATAACCATTTCTGAGCTCCGGGAAAAAAGGTCAACACATGGCAAAGTTCTTATCTCTAGGAAAGAACAAGACACTGGTTGGCAAGCAGGGAAGGCTTGGGGTGAGAAACCGAAAAGTTTGTTTGTTTTTTTTTTTTAAATCTTGATTAATAATGTTAATCATACCTTTAGACTCCACTTTCTTCCAAAAGAAATAATCATTGCTACCGGGAAAGAGAGTAATATGGCCATGGTCAAGAAGAAAACTTGGGTACCTTCTAGAAGTTAGCAAGGCTAGGAAATGACCACAAAGGGGGTGGGGGGTAAGGACTGCTGGATGTGGCCAGAGTAGAAAGAACTAAAGCCACTGGGCTGTTCCCCACAGGAAAGAAAGAGCTGGTGGGACCCCCGGCTACCTCTTCCAAGCCTACAGCAGGTGCCAATGTTTCTCAGCTCCCAGCCAGCCATCAGCATGGATTGATATGATCCTCAGTGAACACCCACCCACACTGACTCCTCTGCACAAAGCTGGAAGCTGTTTCTGAGATTAGGATTGAGACCTAAACAGCCAGAAAGAAGGACTCAGCTTAGCTGGCTGAAGCCGAGAGGAAATCTCATTCCCCCCCCCGGGTTACATGACTGTAGCTGGAAGCTCTACGACTTCCCTCAGCAGAGCTACCTGGGGAGAGAGTAAGACGCATTCCCATTGACCCCAGCGTCAGCGGGACTTGTAGGGAAGCATGCCTGTCCTGTCGGCCTGCACATCAAAAAAGGCCTCTGTTCTAAGATATTTGTGGAAATGTCCTATTAAAAAATACCCTGTCTAGCTAGGCCCATTAGGCTCATAAGCCTATCGAGACAGGGTAGGGGACAGAGGTGAGGTGAAGGGATCTCAAAGCCACTTAGCTCATCAAAACTTCATGATCTCCTGAGAAATATTTGAAAGTCTCAAGGTCAGTAGGAACCTGACAAGAACACAAAGCATTTCCCAAACCCAAAAGTCAACACGGAAATCTCCAGGCTTAAAACCTAAACATGAGCAAAGAAACTAGTGCTTGAAGTCTCCCCACACCACCCCCAATCCTCTTCTCTCCCTGTGGGATAACTAACTCTCATGGGTCACAGAACAATGTCGAGGTTGGGTAAGCTATTAACAGCCACTCTGAGCTCACCTTTACCCAGCTTTAACCCACCTTTACCCAAGGTGTCAGCCTGGTTAGGAGAGGCCCTTTGTCACCCTGTTCAGGCCTCAGGATCCAGCTCTGCCACAGTCAGTGGCCCAGCTACCAATATAGGCACACGTGGCAACCTAAAGTCTTCTTCATGCCCCCTTCCCCAAGTTCTAGTTCTGAGCCTAGCAAACATAGAATCAAGCAGACGAAAGCCACCTTTACCAATTTGCATGGGCTACTTGTCCTATCGTTCAAGTCTGAGGGACTGCTCCCCACCTCCTAAGCCTAAACACCTTCACAGCTGAGGCCATGCCTTCCACTCCCAGTGCCCTATGGGTGGAGTCCCAAGCTCCATTCAAGCCCAAGCCCTACCGATCATCCTGTGAAGCCCTGAGCAAGTGCCGGTCGTCAGCCCTGCCGTACAGTTCCTCGCTCCCCACCAACCTCTGCCCCCCACCAAACAATTAGCTTCTTCAGTTGGTGCACTGGAGCAGGAGAGGTCTGTTAGAATCATGAACATAGCTTCTTCAGTTTTCCACTAAGCATCAAGAAGATGTATCACCCAGACCTGATTTCATTTGTTTATGCCACAGATGTCCATCCCGCACTTACGTGCAAAACACTGTGAAGTGGTTGATGGGATATAGCCAGAC